TTTAATATAATTTTCATTTATAATAATTCTTAATTGGCATAAATTCAATTTCACATAATTGTTATTTGATATAATGTTAATTTGTCATAATTTACAATTCTCATAATGCTCATTTGTCATAATTCTTATTAGTCATAACTGTTATTTGTCATAATTACTGATTGACATAATGTTAACTTTTTATAAAAAGCACTTGACATAATGTTTATTTCGCATAATTTAAGTTTGACATAATGTTCATTAGACATAATTTTAATTTGACATAATGTTCATTGTTCATAATTTTTATTTGTCATAATTATCATGCAGTATAAAATGTACTTGATATAATGTTCATTTGTCATAACTATTTTATGACATAATGTTTATTTGTAATAATTTTTAATTGGTATAACACTAAATTAGTATAATGTGTATTTGACATACTGTTCATTTGTCATAATTTTCATTTGACATAATTCCCATTTGTCATAACTTTATGTGTCAACGATTTTTTGATGTATCTTCCCATCCTTGGTTTTTTAATTAGTAGTTTGTATATGTTGGTAAAGTAGATTAGGTGGCGCTGTCTAATATTTCTGAAATTAATTCTATCTTGCTTTTAAATATGAAAAATTACTTTTTTTTCCAAGTTACAATTTTAATATTGTACAATTCAATTACATTTTTTTAAAAATAATATGACAATTCATATTAATAATGATGACATTAAAAAATTGTACAATATTAAAATTGTAATTTTCATATTTAAAAGCAAGATAGAATTAATTTCAGAAATATTAGACAGCGCCACCTAATCTACTTTACCAACATATACAAACTACTAATTAAAAAACCAAGGATGGGAAGATACAGCAAAAAATCGTTGACACATAAAGTTATGACAAATGGAAATTATGTCAAATGAAAATTATGACAAATGAACAGTATGTCAAATACACATTATACTAATTTAGCGTTATACCAATTAAAAATTATTACAAATAAACATTATGTCATAAAATAGTTATGACAAATGAACATTATATCAAGTACATTTTATACTGCATGATAATTATGACAAATAAAAATTATGAACAATGAACATTATGTCAAATTAAAATTATGTCTAATGAACATTATGTCAAACTTAAATTATGCGAAATAAACATTATGTCAAGTGCTTATTATAAAAAGTTAACATTATGTCAATCAGTTATTATGACAAATAACAGTTATGACTAACAAGAATTATGACAAATGAGCATTATGAGAATTGTAAATTATGACAAATTAACATTATATCAAATAACAATTATGTGAAATTGAATTTATGCCAATTAAGAATTATTATAAATGAAAATTATATTAAACAATCGATGTGACGAATAAACATTATATCAAATATATTTTATACTAAATGATAATTATGCCAAATAAAAATTATGACAAATGAAAGTTTTGACTAATAAGAATTATGACAAATGAGCATTTTGTGAAATGCAAATTATGACAAATGAACATTATGTCAAATACACATTATACTAAATAAGCGTTATGTCAATTGCTGATTATTAATAATAAACATTATATCAAACAGTGATTATTACAAATGACAGTTATGATTATTAAGAATTATGAAAAATGAGCATTATGTCCAATAGTCATTATGTTAAATTAGCGTTATACCAGTTAAGAATTATTACCAATAAATATTATGTCAAAAAGTAGTTATGACGAATGAACATTATATCAAATACATTTTATGATGAATGATAATTATGCCAAATTAAAATTATGATCAATGAAAATTATGTCAAATAAAGATTATGACAAATCTATATTATGCCAAATAAAAATTTTGACAATTGAAAGTTATACCGAATATAACTTATACTAAATAAACATTCTGTCAAATGCGAATTATGCTGAATAATTAGTATCTCAATTAAAATTTATGCTAAAGTAAAATTATGACCAAAAAAATTATGACAAATATTGGTTATGTCAACTGGTTTTATGTCAAATGAATATTATGACATTTGAGATTTGGGGAAAATTACGGCACCACTTGGTTATAAAATGAGAGATTCATTTGTCAAAAACGAGCGTAACAATTTTATATTCATATTGACAAAATTTTATTTCAATAAATGTAAACATTTTTTTAATTATAAAAAAATAAAAATGAAAAATATTATTTTATTGTTTTTATATGTTTTTTAAATATGTTTATAAATATAATCTTTTTCTTCCTTACTGCGATCAGAAAAAAAATTTGATTTTTCAAGTGGAAGTTTTGTATTTTGAATCGTTCTTAACTTCGACTTAAATCAATTAATTTTGTAGAAAAAAATTAATTAGAAAAACTATAATACAAAAACGAAATTTTATTTAATTTAAATTGATACTTACTGCATAAAAATTTTCTGGCTACAAGAAATGAATTCTTATAATTTTCAGAAAAATTTACAATTAGAAAACTTAACATAATTATTATTAAAAAATAATGCACTGATTTTTAGTAGATGTAGGGTCAATTGGGGTAAATGGGGACAAGAGGTTTTGGAGCTTAATTTACAGTTTTTAAATTAAGTTCAACATCAATATTTTAACCTCACGTTACCTGTAACAGGTTATGAGTATTGCCAAATGCGAGACAAAATACTGGATTAAAAAAATAATTTCAATTGGTTCAACTATTATATATCTACTACAAAATTTTTTTCAAGTTTTTTCATCCCTTAATACAGCAATATACTTAAATAAACTTTTTCTTAAAACTTTCTTAGAAACAAATAAAAATTGTAAATAAATATGATAAATTAACTTACAGAATCGGATGAAGTAGATAATACATTAATCTCTTCATTCTGTTGAAGAGTACGTAAAATTCTCCTTTGAGTGGAATATGAATAACTTTCGAAATTCTTGTATCGGTGCATATTGTTCATTTATGAATATAATCAATGTATTAATTTTATTTCGATTAATTATTTGAACATTTCAGACTTGAATTATTAAAAAAAATTGTTTTAAAATCTTCCAATAATATAAACTTTAATTACAAAACATATACTTGACACGTCAGTCGAAAATTCAGTTTTGACATTTTAAACATAATACAAACTCGCTTTTAATTTGAAAAAAACAATCGATAAAAGTCAAATTTAAAAAATAAATATTTTAATTTAATTTTAATTTATTTAAAAAAATCTTTTAAAATTAAATTTACTTTACAGAAATTAAATTATAATCTTTTATTATTTAAACATAACTAATTAATAAATATATTTTCATTCAAATAAATTCTAAAATATTTAAAAAATTTTGAATAATTTATTGCAATTTTTTTAAGTGACAACATTCAATTTATTGAAATGTCATTTAGTGCAAAAGTGTCAAGTGTTCATGTCAGAAGAAAAAAAAATTAATCATTAAAATCAAACAAAAAATGACTGAGAAAACTAAAACTTTTTGCCTTGTCTTCTGGAAAGAAGACAAAACATATAGTGTTATGGAAGAACCTCAGGAATTAAAAAACATTTGTGACGGAGAGGAGGCAGATTTAGTGGAAGAAGGAACTTCATATAAAATTATTGTTTTGGCAAGAAGCGGTAATTATACTTTTTTTTAATAATAAAAAAATAACAGCTAATTACACTCATTTTCTTAATAGTTTGGAAAAATTTTAATTTATTAAATTACTATAAAATTAAATATTTCAATATTGGTTTGAAAAAATATTTTTATATTTATTTATTTAATTTAAAAATTCGAAGCTTCTAATCGTTTTTTACATTTCTAATATTAAAATTATAATAAATATAGAAAATAAAAAATATCTAAAGAAGTTAGAAGTTTCAACGGAAGGAAATATTATAAAAAAGAAACCGTCTAAAAATAAAAGAATTGATAAATGTAATAAGAATAAAGAAAGAAAAATTGTTCAAGAAGAACTAAACGAAAAAATTCTTAAATTAGGAGTGGACAATATATTTATGAATATGCCTGGACCTTCCAAATTTCAAATTCCAATAGGTAACTGTTTTTCCTCATTCTTTTTTTTTAATTATATATATTTTCTTTTTTCCTTTCATCTATTTTTTTCTCCATTCTCCTTCACTCAATAATAATTCGTCCTGATTTATTCATGAATAATAACCTGAAAATTATTTTTTTAGATGTTAAATCAAATAGAACTGACGAAGAATTAGTTAAGAGCGACAACCAAAGAGACTTTCTGCAAGATTCGGAGAATAAAATAATAAATTCTAAAACTGAACTTACGAAGTCACAAGTCCCAAAAAGTAATAATTTCATTCTAAACAAAGAGAAAAATACTCTCATTTACTCTTTCTCTTACTCTATATATTTTCATCAGTATCTTTAATTCTCTTTTATTTTATATTTTCTCTAATTCACTCATTGCCTAATTCTTACTTTTTCACGCGTTCTCCCATTCACTCTTATACCTCTCAACTCTTTTTCACTTCTCCACTACTGTCTGTCTTATTGTCTTATTCTCACTTTTTTCGTCTCAATCAGTTGCTGTTTCTTCTTTTTTGTATCTTATAAATTCTTTTTTTCTCATTCTCCCTTCCACTTCCTTTTTTCTTTCATCCTTCTCCATTTCTTTCTCTCGCTAATATATTTGTAGCTTTTTTTCATTTTTAATTCTATGGTTAACGAAAAACAGAAATACCAGACATGTAAATGGGATGAGCAAAAAGTTTTGAATGTTCAAATTTTTTTTAATCTATAAATTATTAAAAATTATGATGTCAATGTAAAATAAAACAATAAATTAAACAATTATTAAAGTAAATAACTTCTTTTTAGAAATTTAAAACAATATTTTGTAATAAAATTCGTAATTAAAGGAGTTGGAAAAAAATTCGTTCATTTGAACGTTCAAAACTTTTGGCTCATTAAATGGAAATTTTCTTATCTTATTTATTGACAGTATAAATTGTCATCACTTACTCCTGCAAAATAATCTAACACGTATCTTTAAAGGCGGCGACTCAATGAAAAGCAAAAAAAGAGATTCAAATACTCATAAGAAAAGTAACTTTACTGAAGATATTAAAAGCAAAAACTCACATAACAATATTGCTCCAAATAAACAGATGCCTAAAATTTCTAAAGTACAAAAACCAAAAGGTAACTATTTTAACTTTAAAAACGAATTTAGCCAAGCCCTAAATCTAATTTTTCTCTATATCTGTATTATTTTCCTTTGTAAAATTTTTTAATTCTTTCCACTCTCCATTTTCAAATTTTTTCTTTAATTAATCATTTTTACTCTTATTACTATACACTATTATTCTTTTATCCATTTCACTTTATTTTACCATTCCTTTTTTTCTCTACAATAATTCTCATAAAATGTTCTCTTTTACTTAATATTCTAAAAAAAATCTTAGTAGTGCTAAAAATAAAAATTTCCAAATATTAAATTTAATAAAATCTTAGTCGTGTATTTTAGTTTTCCTCATTTATTCATGAATAATAATCTAAAAACCATTTCTTTTAGGTGCTAAAGCAAATAGAAATGACGCAGAATCATTAAAGAGCGACAACCAAAGTGAATTTTTGCAAGATTCCGACAATGGAAATTCTGACAATGAAATAATAAAATCTCAAATTGAACTTTCGAAGTCAGAAGTTCCAAAAAGTAATTATTTTATAGTAACATAAAAAGAGAAAAATATTCTCTATATATCTTTCATTTTCTTTAATTCTATTTGTTTCTAATTCCAACATTGCGTGTTTCTTACTTTTTCGCACCATTTCACACTTATACTTCCTACATCTCTTTCACTTGTCCACTTTTGTCTTTCTATTTGTCTTCATAGAAAAAACCTTATCTCATTTTTGTTGCCCATCAACATGAGCCGCCTACACGGCTTATTCTGAGTTCAGTTTTTTTCTTTGTTATTCTGGTTTTTCTTCTTAAACAGTCATCTTTTCTTCTTATCTTTTGTATATTTTAAACTCTTTTTCTTATTTTCTTTTCCATTCCCTTCATCTTCACCATCTCTCTTTTCTTCTTACTTTCTTTAACCCTCTATTATCTAAGTATTTTTTTATTCACTACTTTAACAAAGAAAATTCTTCTAATAAACATAAAATAGAAATTTATTTTTATATTATTATGAGAAGAAAAAGTCTTAAATTTGTGCGAATCTGAACATTCTCTAATTCTTGTTTACTAAATGAATTTGTCAATCTGTTTGGTCGCAACTTCCAATAAAACAGATTGCTTAATTTTGAGTGAAATACTTCTGTCCACTAATTGCATCATTATAATTAAATTATATAAAAATATATAAATTATTTTTAAAGGTAACATGAACGATAGCAAAAATACTGATCCGGTCGCAATAATTGAGCATGTTAAATATTTACCTGGACATTCAAAACAACAAATGCCAAAATGTAATTATTTTAACCTAATAATTTACATCAAAACACACATATACCATACTAGCATAAATCAGATTTCCGCTTCCATCGGATAATTTTTCTTGCTTTAGAAATCCGATATATATGGGTTTATTCAGTCTCTCTTAAACTCTTAATTACTCTATCTTACTTTTTCTTTATAAACAAATTTAAATCTAAAACATATATTTTTCTATTTTCTAGTTCCTCCGGAATTTGTTACATTTCTGCGACAATTTTTGGCCTTCGCAGAAAGTAATCAATCAAATGAAAATTCAGATGATAGCAACCAAGTCCGTTATCTTTTCATCCAATATAAAATTTTCTTTGAAAGAAGAAAAACTTCTTAGTTTCAAAGAAAATTTCTTTCATTCGAAAAAATTTTCTTTGATTTAAAGAAATTTGTGCATTAAATCGAAGAAATTGTAATATTGATATAGGGCCAAAGAAACATTTATTTCAATTAAATAACAAATTTCTTTGAAACGAAGATAATTTTTTTGTGATCAAAGATAATTTTGTTTGAAACAAATTAATTTTCTTTCAATCAAAAAAAAATTTGTCAAAGAAATTGATTTCTTTTAATCAAAGAAATCTTTTTTCTCGATGCGTTTTATTCACTATTTCTATTTCTCTAATAACTTAATTATTCACCCTTACTCCTAAAATATTACTTTCATTTCATCCGTTTTAATGTAGTTAACAAACCTGTTATCCAGCGAAGGTATTGAAAATAATCAAAATAAAGTTTCCATAATAAACGATACTTTGGTGATTCGGAAATCACAAGAAGTAGAATTCACCCGCTTTAAAAAAAAACCTAAAGAAATGGTTCGTCGCTTGATGTTAGAATTAGTAGGTCGCGACGAACTGAAAACAATGACTGCTCTCGGAAAGCAAACGGTAGGAAGTAAAAGAAAGGAAATTCCAGAACAAATCAGGAATTGTGTTTACAGTGTGTATCGTCATTGTTATGTATTAATTTTTATTAATTTTATTAATTAATTAAATTTTATTATTAATTTTTTTCAGATTATATTATGAAACATTCAAAAGGATTAAGCTATACCAAATATATTGATACACTTAATAATCAATGCTGCACATTGAGAAATCCGAAGAGCTCAATTCCAACGAACATAAAAAAAAATAATCAAAATAACAAGCGTAAAAATATTGAAGATGAGGATTCTGGAAGTGAGCATGAATTAAGTGAAAGGTATATCATATATAAAGCATGTGTGACCGGGTCAGAAAAAACGGTGTTATCGACTGAAAAATCGATTTTTTTGTGATGGTTTCTTACAGTTTGAGGTCCTAAAAATACAATGCAACTATAGTCCTAAATGTAAAAAAAATTTGTTGCATTTGTTTAAACAAATTAAAAAAAAAAATTTATTTTGAAAAATTTTTTTAATGAAAATATAAGTAATTCTAAGGCAAAAATTACTCTTGGTATTTTTGCTTAAAATAAAAAATTGAATGCCAAAACCATTAACAAAAAATTAGAGCTAAATTCTGCGCGATGATCCATAAGTATATATTCATCATCGGCGACCTGGTTCTATAGATAAAAAATAACCGTGGATTATTGTGCGGTTGTCAGTTCTGAAGGTGCATAAAAAATTTCAGTCCTCTAGAACATCAGCAAGTCGTTCAAATTAAATTTTAAAATTTCATATTTTGACTTTTGCAAAACAAATTGTTTATAACAATAACACTGATGTTCAAAAAATAAAAAAAATAAAATTTTATTCATAAAAATCGTGTTCAACATAAAAAATACATAAGGAACACTTATCTAGGTCCTTAGAAATATAAAATGTTTCAAGAAATCTATTTTAATTGGTAGTAAAACTTTTAACGCGTTTTTCTCAAAAAGTTGATTTTGGTCGATACCACCGTTTATAGGTAAAATATGTATAGAAAATTGTTTAAGGGTACATCTTAATAATAATAAAAATTAACAACAATAACTGTATATAGGGAGGATTCTTCAGAAGCAGAATCAATGGCTAAAAAGCAAAAAATCAATTCAAGTGAAAATTTATGTTCTGAGCAATGATTTCAATAATTTTTTTTTAAATTTGAAGCTTATTAAATTGACATTAGTTTTTGTTTACCATTTCTATATTATCAATTATGTTTAAACTTTAAACATAATATAAATAATAATAATAATAAAAATCCATTATAAAATAAGTACAATAAAATACATTTTGTTGAAAAGTAAGGTTTAAAGAAATTTATTTGAAATTATAAGTACAGGAATTTTACTAAATATGATAAAAAACAAAAAATGTTTTGCCATGGTTCATCCAGGGTAAAAACATTTTTGTAATCAATAAAAAAGACAAAAAATGTTTCGCCATGGTTCATCCAGAGTAAAAACATTTTTGTCTTGATCCATGGTTCGCCAAGGGTTAAAGACAGTGACAAAAATTCAATAAAAAAGACAAAAAATGTTTTGCCATGGTTAAGCCAGGGTAAAAAATGTTTTGTCTTGATCCATGGTTCGCCAAGGGTTAAAGACAGTGACAAAAATTCAATAAAAAAGACAAAAAATGTTTTGCCATGGTTAAGCCAGGGTAAAAAATGTTTTGTCTTGATCCATAGTTCGCCAAGGGTTAAAGACAGTGACAAAAATTCAATAAAAAAGACAAAAAAGGTTTTGCCATGGTTAACCCAGGGTAAAAACTGTTTTGTCTTGATCCATGGTTCGCCAAGGGTTAAAGTAAGAAAAATTCAATAAAAAAGACAAAAAATGTTTTACAATGGTTCATCCAGGGTAAAAACTATTTTGTCTTGATCCATGGTTCGCCAAGGGTTAAAGACAGTGACAAAAATTCAATAAAAAAGACAAAAAATGTTTTGCCATGGTTAACCCAGGGTAAAAACTGTTTTGTCTTGATCCATGGTTCGCCAAGGCTTATAGTAAGAAAAATTCAAGAAAAAAGACAGAAAATGTTTTGCCATGGTTCATCCAGGGTAAAAACATTTTTGTCTCAATCCATGGTTCGCCAAGGGTTAAAGAAAGTGACAAAAATTCAATAAAAAAAGACAAAAAATGTTTCGCCATGGTTCATCCAGGGTAAAAACATTTTTGTCTTGATCCATGGTTCGCCAAGGGTTAAAGACAGTGACAAAAATTCAATAAAAAAGACAAAAAATGTTTTGCCATGGTTAAGCCAGGGTAAAAAATGTTTTGTCTTGATCCATGGTTCGCCAAGGGTTAAAGACAGTGACAAAAATTCAATAAAAAAGACAAAAAAGGTTTTGCCATGGTTAACCCAGGGTAAAAACTGTTTTGTCTTGATCCATGGTTCGCCAAGGGTTAAAGTAAGAAAAATTCAATAAAAAAGACAAAAAATGTTTTACAATGGTTCATCCAGGGTAAAAACTATTTTGTCTTGATCCATGGTTCGCCAAGGCTTATAGTAAGAAAAATTCAAGAAAAAAGACAGAAAATGTTTTGCCATGGTTCATCCAGGGTAAAAACATTTTTGTCTCAATCCATGGTTCGCCAAGGGTTAAAGAAAGTGACAAAAATTCAATAAAAAAAGACAAAAAATGTTTCGCCATGGTTCATCCAGGGTAAAAACATTTTTGTCTTGATCCATGGTTCGCCAAGGGTTAAAGACAGTGACAAAAATTCAATAAAAAAGACAAAAAATGTTTTGCCATGGTTAAGCCAGGGTAAAAAATGTTTTGTCTTGATCCATGGTTCGCCAAGGGCTAAAGACAGTGACAAAAATTCAATAAAAAAGACAAAAAAGGTTTTGCCATGGTTAACCCAGGGTAAAAACTGTTTTGTCTTGATCCATGGTTCGCCAAGGGTTAAAGTAAGAAAAATTCAATAAAAAAGACAAAAAATGTTTTACAATGGTTCATCCAGGGTAAAAACTATTTTGTCTTGATCCATGGTTCGCCAAGGCTTATAGTAAGAAAAATTCAAGAAAAAAGACAGAAAATGTTTTGCCATGGTTCATCCAGGGTAAAAACATTTTTGTCTCAATCCATGGTTCGCCAAGGGTTAAAGAAAGTGACAAAAATTCAATAAAAAAAGACAAAAAATGTTTCGCCATGGTTCATCCAGGGTAAAAACATTTTTGTCTTGATCCATGGTTCGCCAAGGGTTAAAGACAGTGACAAAAATTTAATAAAAAAGACAAAAAATGTTTCGCCATGGTTCATCCAGGGTAAAAACATTTTTGTCTTGATCCATGGTTCGCCAAGGGTTAAAGACAGTGACAAAAATTAAATAAAAAAGACAAAAAATATTTTGCCATGGTTAAGCCAGGGTAAAAACTGTTTTGTCTTGATCCATGGTTCGCCAAGGGTTAAAGACAGTGACAAAAATTAAATAAAAATGACAAAAAATGTTTTGCCATGGTGAAGCCAGGGTAAAAACTGTTTTGTCTTGATCCATAGTTCGCCAAGGGTTAAAGTAAGAAAAATTCAAGAAAAAAGACAGAAAATGTTTTGCCATGGTTCATCCAGGGTAAAAACATTTTTGTCTCAATCCATGGTTCGCCAAGGGTTAAAGAAAGTGACAAAAATTCAATAAAAAAGACAAAAAATGTTTCGCCATGGTTCATCCAGGGTAAAAACATTTTTGTCTTGATCCATGGTTCGCCAAGGGTTAAAGACAGTGACAAAAATTAAATAAAAAAGACAAAAAATATTTTGCCATGGTTAAGCCAGGGTAAAAACTGTTTTGTCTTGATCCATGGTTCGCCAAGGGTTAAAGACAGTGACAAAAATTAAATAAAAATGACAAAAAATGTTTTGCCATGGTGAAGCCAGGGTAAAAACTGTTTTGTCTTGATCCATAGTTCGCCAAGGGTTAAAGTAAGAAAAATTCAAGAAAAAAGACAGAAAATGTTTTGCCATGGTTCATCCAGGGTAAAAACATTTTTGTCTCAATCCATGGTTCGCCAAGGGTTAAAGAAAGTGACAAAAATTCAATAAAAAAGACAAAAAATGTTTCACCATGGTTCATCCAGGGTAAAAACATTTTTGTCTTGATCCATGGTTCGCCAAGGGTTAAAGACAGTGACAAAAATTAAATAAAAAAGACAAAAAATATTTTGCCATGGTTAAGCCAGGGTAAAAACTGTTTTGTCTTGATCCATGGTTCGCCAAGGGTTAAAGACAGTGACAAAAATTAAATAAAAAAGACAAAAAATATTTTGCCATGGTTAAGCCAGGGTAAAAACTGTTTTGTCTTGATCCATGGTTCGCCAAGGGTTAAAGACAGTGACAAAAATTAAATAAAAATGACAAAAAATGTTTTGCCATGGTGAAGCCAGGGTAAAAACTGTTTTGTCTTGATCCATAGTTCGCCAAGGGTTAAAGTAAGAAAAATTCAAGAAAAAAGACAGAAAATGTTTTGCCATGGTTCATCTAGGGTAAAAACATTTTTGTCTCAATCCATGGTTCGCCAAGGGTTAATGAAAGTGACAAAAATTCAATAAAAAAGACAAAAAATGTTTTGCCATGGTTCATCCAGGGTAAAAACTGTTTTGTCTTGATCCATGGTTCGCCAAGGGTTAAAGACAGTGACAAAAATTAAATAAAAAAGACAAAAAATGTTTTGCCATGGTTAAGCCAGGGTAAAAACATTTTTGTCTTGATCCATGGTTCGCCAAGGGTTAAAGACAGTGACAAAAATTAAATAAAGAAGACAAAAAATATTTTGCCATGGTGAAGCCAGGATAAAAACTGTTTTGTCTTTATCCATGGTTCGCCAAGGGTAAAAGTAAGAAAAATTCAATAAAAAAGACAGAAAATGTTTTGCCATGGTTCATCCAGGGTAAAAACATTTTTGTCTCAATCCATGGTTCGCCAAGGGTTAAAGACAGTGACAAAAATTCAATAAAAAAGACAAAAAAGGTTTTGCCATGGTTAACCCAGGGTAAAAACATTTTTGTCTCAATCCATGGTTCGCCAAGGGTTAAAGTGCATTAATTTCATTACAATCAAAGAAATGTATTTCTGCTCCTCAGCCAGGCATTTCCCAGACCATGGGAAACGATCATAAGCAAGGGTTATCCCAGGGAATGTATTTGCCCTAGCCTATGGTTTCGCCAAGGTTTTTTACATCTTACTTCGAACCTTCTCCCAGGGTCTTCCCTGGGTTGACCATTTCTACGCGGGTATATATATTGTTATTACATCATTCATTTCGTATTGAAAATTATTCATAATTGTGTTAATAGATTAGTATTAAAATTTGCGCCTTTAAATCTCATTTATATTTAGTGTTTATAAAATTTTTTAAAAATTATTATTATTTATTATTAATTATTAATTTTATACAAAAAAAAAAATTTAAGCTGTAATATTTATGATTAATGAACTAAGAAAATATTCAAGTTTAACAAATTTTAAATTAGATTTTTTAAAATTATTTGATCTCAAATAGAAAAAGGTGTAATTTAATTAATGTAAAATCTTATACACATATATGT